AGGAGGCTTGCGCTCTTATCGCAAGCCAACTCTGGAATATATCAAAAATAATTACAAATAAATTGTTGTATATTGTTAGAATTCAAATTTATTACATAATTAAGGTACATCAGGTTTATCAAGACATAAAAGAGAATCAGATTTTGTTGAAAAACTGAGTGATGACTTAGCCATTAAAGAACCTATTAACAATTTTCATATGTTACCAAGCGAAAAGTATGCTAAAAGTTCTTAGTTCTAAATAATTTTAATTTTTCTATAATAATTGTATAACAGTTGTGCAACTAGACAAATAAATTACAATATTTTTATTTTTTTACTTGTCACACTAAATCCTATTCAAATAAAAATTTCAGCATATGAATTGATAACTTAATTTCATTTTAAAATAATTAACTGAATGCTATATGATTCTTTTTGCACTATTTATTATAAAGCTTACATTTATAGTCCTTGCTATTTCAGGTATAAGAATATTTTCATTTTAACATTTGATATTTTGATATGTTTAACATTATTTTATCTACKTTTAGATTTGTTCATGCGTTAAGAAGTCTTGATATGAATATACCACCAATAAAAATGTCTGGATTTGGTATTCAGTCTCTTACTATTCATCCTTCAGAAACATCTCTTATACTAGCTGCAGGGGACAGGAAAGGAAACATATGTGAGACTAAAAACATACTAAAATATTAAATATTATTAATAATTCGATTTTGTAGCTTTGTATGACAGAAACTCAGAAATGTATTTTGTTCATAAAGCTCTAGTTAATTGTATTTCATTTTTTACTTGGAATCCAAACAAGTTTTTTTCAACTAGTTATGATGGATCTGTYATATGTGGTGACATTGTTAAACACACTTTTGATATTATCAGTAAAATGTATTTACTGAAGGATACGCTATACCCGCATGCGTTTTCTTCATCATAGTTATACAACAACAAAAACAATTTTTCTTGAGATTTACTATAAAAAAGAGAACATTTATTGTGCAGCGTCGTTTTTATATTTTTGATATCACAAATACAAAAAAAGTTCTTACTGTTTAAAAATTCATTATTTCAAACTTGAATAACTTTTTGTATTTGTGATATCAAAAAAATAAAAATAATGTTGCATATTAAAATAATCTTCTCCTTTTTATAGTGTAAAAATTAATTTCTTAGTTATGATTACAGCCTGAGTGGTTCTATCCCCCATGTGAAATAGTTTTTCCTTAAGTTGTACGTTTGTAAAACTGAGTTAATGCATGCGGGTATAGCGTCCTCTTAAGAGTTATGATCTTTGTTTTAGTTTTGTTGGTTGAAGTCTTTCTGTTCAATTGAATAGGTTTATAGATCAAACATTAATAAGACCGCRTGGCACAGTGAATATGAAAGAAATCTGATTGGAAATAGTATGTCCTATGAATGATATCCATTAGTTATTACACATTATAGATCAAKTGTTTATTATTGAATTTAAATGTTTAAGGTTCTGGACATGTAGATATGGTGGACACTCGAATACCAGATACAATTATCAATTCTGCCTGGTGTCATAAAAGATCTGTGTGTAGAGTTCAGTGTCACCCATTATTAAAAAATTATTTTTTAACTTCATCTGAAGTTGGGTAATATTCTAGTTGCTATTATAATTTTTGTATTAACAGCTAAAATAACAACATTTAAATATTTTTTTAAAAACCTCTAAATTTATATTATGTGTTATTAACTATGATAATATTTGTTTTGTAAGTCAATAAATTACATTTATACTTTTAGAGAGGTTTCCTTAAGGGACATAAGAAATATAACTGACAAACATATTAATCCAGTTCTACGATTTAAACATCCCAAAGAATTGAMAAGTTCATTTTTTTTGCTGATGAGACAAGATGGTATCAACATATATTAATAACAAAATAAGGATTTTTAATACCTAACAATTTAGTTCAGATGCTACAAGTAAGMTAAAAATTGTAAAATGTTCTATGATAATGCTCAATAAGTTGTATGAGTTTCCAAGTATACAAATCAACAAGGCTGCATGTTAAAAAGAAATTACTTACCTATTAAGTATATACCAAAATTTTAGATAAAGAAAATTACAACGTGATGGATTTTTGATTGTACCAATATTTCAAAACTTTCTGTATAATTGCAAAATGTTATGATCATTTTTTAAGTTAATAATAATATTAAGAACAATACAATTATCTAATGTTTAATAATATTATTTCAATTAATTAGTTTTATATCAATGGGTGTACCTTATTTGAGGTATACCAAAAAAGTTAAATAATATGGATTTAATATTAATAGACAGACAACAAATGCTTGTGTAGTGTCCTCTTAATGACTAGTATGTAACAATATTTCCGATCAAATTAKACAATTTACAATATTATCTATAAAATTATATTCGTGTCCATTATTTTATGAAAATAAATAACGTAAGAATAATTATTTATCTAATTATCAACATAATTTAAATAATAAATACCTATTTCTTTAAACAAAATTATCAACATTAGATATTAGATAATTTCTTAGTCATAGTTATAAATGTGTTAACAAAATATTTGATTTTCACAACATTGCCTATGTTGTCTATGTTGCCTATGTTGACATTGAGCATGTTGTCTACTCATGTTAGGAATTTATGATATTGGCTAGGGATTTACATTATTATCTAATTTACTTCATGTGCAGTTATGTATATTGATACATGAAGTTTATTCCATTGTGTAATAACAATAAGTATGAATAAATTATATCCAACGAATATTTAATACAATAATTTATTTTTATTTTGCCTTTTTAAAAACTTAATAGTTAATAATTATTATTTTCAATACTGTTAAAAATATTTGTGTGCAATTTTGATTCAACAACATTTTAAATACTATATAAAATCCAGGCTATTGTTAATAGCATTAATGTTAACTTGTCTTAGAATAATATTTATTTTTAACTCGTGCAGATTTTATGTCCTCTGAATCCTTGTTATTTCYTAAAGCTACATTATAAATAATACATGGTAAATATTTTATTGTTGAAAAACAAGTCTTAAAAAATTACAGTTAAATTATTTTCACATTAATATAATTATATTTTGAAACAGCGGCGTAGCCAGGATTTCTTTCGGGAGGGGGCTGATCAATTTTTTACACAGCGGTGCATTAAATACCTATAAGCACGACCGAAGCTATAGAAAACTAACAAAATAAAGATGACAATTTAAAATTAGTAAAATACAATTTAAGACTATTTGAGTGAATATTGTAGACCACTGAAATAATTTTTAAATTTTATTAACATTTCGGGGGGGGGGGGCTGCAGCCCCCTCAGCCCTCCCCATGGCTACGCCACTGTTTGGGACTATATATACACAATTTCATAACAATATTTGTGTTAGTGTGTGATTTAATTTTTTGTTTAAAAAATGTTTTGTGTTTGGAATAAAAATCACTATTAATAAGAAAAACCATGGTTAAAAAAATAACTGACTGAATAAAGTGTTTACAATTATAAATCATGAATGATATCAATATCATAACTATTCATAACCTATATTGAGTTTGCTATGATTCTTGTCATTTCTTATTAGAATGAATGGCTTGCATTTTCAATTTCTATTTTTATTTAAAAATTTATTGTTTGAAAACGTTCACTACAGCTAATTTCCTATGTGTTTTCAGTTGCAAATTTATGATTGTGATGGAAATGTATTGCACGATCTAATCTCAAATAATATGAACAGACGTTGCGTAGTCATGGAACTGCATCCCACTCAAGCTATTTATGTTGGAGGAAATGCATATGGCCGCTTACATGTATTTAGCACCAAAAACCAATTTATATAAAGCTCTCTTTTATTAAATTATTTATAGAGGTACTAATACCTAATTAATTATTAGTAATTATTATCAAGCAAGTTAAGTTTAATTAGTTTTTTTTTTTTTTCAAACAAAGCTTAATGTACCTTGTTTTACTTACATATATCATACCTATTGTTTYATCATTATATTATTTAAACTTATTATTTGCAATAAATGATCAAATCAGAGTGAACACRCATCTTAGTTATATTCTTGCTGTCTTCTCATCAATCTAAATTAACCTAAAATCACAATTTTTYCTCTTTCGATCTTAAGTTTTCACACTGGTCCATGGAATGTTACCACATAGAATTTTTCAAAAGGAAAACAAATGAAGAATTTTGATTTGATTTATTCACTTAAATATGCATTTTAATAATTTTAATACAAAATACTGTTTAAAATTACTTATGATTTACATCACCAATCAATTTTTCAATTAATTAAATATTTCTGTTTCTGCCCTAAAATAAATAGGTAACGTAATTATTCTTAGAGTGTATGTTGTATGGCTATATCAAATATTACCAWTTTTTTCAATTTTGTCATGGTCAATCACTAATTGGCAGTAAAGTAGCAATAACCACGGATCTACATAACACCACAAGTAAAACGTAATTAAACCTACGTGGGATTATGATGCCATTATTCCAACTTGCAGTTGTGAGTCTAATAAAATGTTTAGATATGATAATAAACATACCTAATAATGACACTCTTCAGGAAAAAATTAAATACTCTTACACAAGACAATTATAAACAAAAATGATTAACAAATATGAGACATTTAATAAAATAATTTAACTATATAATTATACCTAATTCAATAATTATAAAACTATGATACAAAAATATTTATAAATAAGCTATAGTTAAGATTTCAAATCCTTTATAATTTGTTGGTAATTTGATTATTAAGTAACATTTGTGAAAAATGCATTGTCAAGTCTTTTCAGTTATAAATTAAAGCAAACATAAAATTAATTATAATAACAAATACCTTAGGGAATGATATTAATCATTCAATATTTTTTAAATTAAATTTAAATGGCGTTTTTTAAAATATCCTAAAAATAACAATTTAAATTGAATTGAGAAGTAAAAATTAAAGTTTTAAATTAATTTTTTTTTATCTATAGTTCAACATTATAAGTTAAATATAATTAAATGTTTTGATTTTCTGTCCAATAGTCTTCCGTTTCTAATAACTGATGGTCTGTATAAATATAATCACTTCTACCTGGTGGCACTGTTCTTGACGGATTTAAATCGATTAACCAAGGTGAAAGAAATTGAGCACTTAATTTTAATGCTTCAATTTCATCTTGATCTTTTATTGCTGCCATTCCTCTGTCGAGCAAAAGATTAACCACTTTAGAAGCACTAGGCCTATTGGTAGGATCCAAGTCGACCATCTTTTTCAGCAATTTTTCAAGACTCGTACTCAAAAATGGAGTTTGAGGTAACRAAAACTCACCATTCCTCAAACGATGCCATTCTGGTCCATTTTTAGGTAAAGGTTTACGAGTTGCTGCCTCGTACACTGTAAGCGCAGTAGAAAACACATCAACTTTCTGCAACTGAGAGTAATCGTCACGTAACAGTTCTTTAGGTAAATAGCGAGAGTCTCCGTCTTCAATGTTTCGGACATCCTCAACGCATATGGTATGACCAAAGTCACCTATCTTGTAAACAATATATTTGTCGACTATGTCTTCCTCGTCATCTAGATCGTKGGCAAACACCACAGACCCATCGGTTGGGCATATCAAAATGTTGGCTGCCTTTATGTCCAAATGTGCAAGTTTTTTGGAATGGATGTGTGCCAGGCCGTTGCACACGTGCCACAACAACYGCCTCAGAGCGCCGTCGCAGAACACATGATCCGACTCGTGGATCATGCGTTCCAGAGTGCCGCCGTGGCAGAACTCCGTTTGGATATAGATGTGGCCCCTCTCGTACCAGGCCGTGAAGTACGACACCAAGTTCGGATGTCGCCCGAACACCGAGTTGGCGTACACCTCTTTGCGCACCATGTACTCGGGGCTCTTGTACATTGTCTGTTTGATTTTTTTAATCGCATACGGTATGCCGTCAAATAGGTTCGTGCACTTGTATATGACGCCGAAACTTCCGGTGGCGATGAACTCGTCCACCCTGAACTCTTCGTTGAAGCGCGACGTCTGCAACTCGCGTATACTGACGTTGGTCATCTTGCCGCTGTCCACCAGACGCCTGACGACGGACGGATGGACGGCCACGGGCGATTTGTGGCCAGGCGGCGTGCACTGTCCCAAGCAGTCGTCGCTGTCCTCGGGACAGGCTGTACTGTCGTCGTTCGATCCGGGACCGCGTTTCTTCCGGTTTTTCAATATGGCGATACCGGTCGGCGTGAACGGATTCACCGACACCCGGAACTCTGGCGCAATTCTGGCGGATCCGAGCTGCCGGGCACGCGGAGCAGTGACGGCCAACAACCGCGGTGTGGACGGAGCCAAACAATCGGCCACTAACCGCGGCGTGGACGGGGCCAGACAGTCGCCGACTAACGATTTCGACGAAGAGGGCGGCAGGCAGTCTGGCAGGACAAATTTGGTCCTCATAAAGTAACAGACGATCGAAAACAAAGCGAGGAAAACGCTCAGATAACCGACGGAAATGTCCATCGTCGCAGTGCTTGTAAACCGCTTTTGGACACTGTTGTTCTTCGCAGGACGTCCGGCTATGAATGGCCAGACGTCACGGCTGTCATGTTTTTTCCCGATACAAACGCGAAACAACTACGACTACGACACACTTCGGAAGTAAACACCAGCAGTCTGCCGAGACGTAKTGTCGTGTGTGAACACCGAACGACGCGCGAACTCGGTCTGAACGCTAAAAGAAGATCGTTTAATATTTAATAATTATATTTTACTGTTCCGTAACGCGATCTTCGACCGCGGGCCCACGCGTTACCGACTACCCGCGAACGTGGACAGGATTTTATCAACATGCGACGAGATCTTTTGTACCGACTTAAAGTTCACCCGAAAATTTGTGGTGTGGTCGACTGCAGTCTGCACTTCTGCAGCAGCGTTCGCCGTTGTCCGATAATAATTCGAAAAAAAAAAAAAACCGATTTTTATAAAAAATTTCTCACGCCGATCATTACCACTGTCCAGTGTCCACTATCACTGTATTATTTAAAATTAAAAATAGCTCGGCAGCTAAAAGATAAAATGTCTTACTGATAATATTGATATTGTGATATCGTTTGTGTTTTTTTTTTTCGTTTTTTGTACTTATTTTAGGTATTTTTAATAAAATAATTTAACATTTAAGAGTTCGGACCACGTGTCATCGCTATCCATCTGTTACTATTTAATTTAGATTTTAGGTATTAGTTATTTAGCTGTGCCGCACGCAGTGTTAAAACGACCAGACGGATGCAAAGTATTCGGTATGAATAGAAAAATGGAAAAAAGGCACAGTGTGTTATTTTATATTTTTCTTCACATCAGACCAAGTATAATATTATATTCAGTGTCGTATTTACTATTTTCTCGGACACGCTAATGGTTTAAGAATAATAAGGTAAGTAGCAAAGACTACGAAAAATATTTTTCCCTAATATGGAAGCTGCTTGGCTTAACTAAAGTAAAACAGCTACCACAACAATACATTTTTTCATTAGATAAACGTAAGTCATGAACAATGTAAGTAAGCAGACAAATTTAAATTGAATGTACCATAGATATGTATAATATGTACTATAAGTATACTTAGGGCTCCTTTTGAATAACGACTWACTCAAAATTTTTTCATCTTCAGTAAATCGACGACCATGATTTTTTTTCTGTGTTTCTCGTACTAGTAGTCGAGTAAACATGGATGCCGCAGGTGTCATTTTCCTAAGGAATTTATCCAAGAAAGTTCCCGCTGCTTGTAACCTGCTTTTAAAAAGTTTTTGTCTACTTCCATTTCGTCTACATTTTTTCATCAGTTGATTGGCAATAGTATACAATTTTTTACATTTTGGTGTTAGATGACTACATTTTATAACACCTATCTGTTTTAATAAACCTATTATAWATCATTGAAAACATAAAAAAAATATTAATTAATGTATCATAATAATATTATAATATATGAAGCTTAAATAATTCTAATGGCCAGTATCTTTTTTCTTTGTTTCTCGGTTTTTAAATTGTGCTGATATTTTAGTGATATTACAAAGCAAGCCGTTAACGTCATCTGCATAGCAAAGCAAATCATATTTGATAGTCATGTTGTCATAGCGTTAAATATAGGCAAATAGCAAGTATTTAGTTATACTTGTAGTGTAATAGTTTTAATTATTTTTGAACATCAAAATTACAAAATAAGCAAATGCAAAATCATAACTAAATGCTATAGGTAATATATCATTGAGCAATATAAATGAAATATAAACTGTATAAAGCTAGGTGTTATGTATTATTAGGTACGTAATATGTATATTTAAAAAAAAAATTCAAACTATTATGTATATACGAGGGAACAGAGATGGGGTACCTAATACATCAAATCCAGATAAGTCAAGGCAGGTTAACTTCTTCAAAATCAATTTCAGAGTTTAAGTGTAGTGATTCTTTACAAGAAGGTGAATCACCTGCTATAATAAAATTGTATTTCACATAATTGCAATAGATATCTAATATAAGTCAGTTTTCCAAAGTTTAATACATACGTCATAATTAATTTTTAAGATAAAAATTATTATTTTACTTGCAGGAATATGTAGTGTAGGATATGAATTACACTTCAATCTTTCGGTCCCAGGACTTAAACAATCACTTGTGAAATGTGCCCCACAAATTCTTTTCTTGTTGTACAYAATTTGAAGATCTTCATGCTCTGACCCAGCAATTTCTGTCCATTCCCTCAATCGGATAGGATAACGTCTTACATTCGGAAACCGATGAGATATAACATCTAATATTATAACAAAAGGTGGTAATGTAGTTAATATGGAGTTGGGCTTATTCAAGCCAACAATTTAAAATTTATAATTACCTATTAAGTTATGAAAGGAAGTTGTTTTGAATACCTAAATTAAATTATGGTAGGTACCCGAGTAAAACTTAATAGTATAAAATTGCATAACAATACTAACCTTTAGCTTTGCATCCCTTCATACAACATTGGTATAATACCATTGTGTAAGACCGAATGAATTAAACTGTTTAAGTAAAAATATAATAAAGTAAATACACGGGACACGCACAAAATGTTAGATCTGAAACAGTTCAGTAGGTTCACGTGGCTACTGACTTTCGTTCATAGATTATTAGATTAGTATAATACAACGGTTTACTGTTAACGATAAAATATTACAAACGTTGAAATATAGTTATAAGCGCATGCGCAGTATGGATCACATTATGTGGCGTGACCGGTGTTTGGTAGACATTACTAGACGGACCTYATTATTGTATGTGAGTGAGACCAGCCTTGGATGTACCACCAGAAGATATGGACTCTCTCTGAACCCCTCTGTTCATTGGYATTCAAGTGATATCAATAGTAAGTTAATTATATTATTTATGTAATTGTTTTATAAATATGTATAATCTGGAAAAAAATCTAATGGTTTGTGTTATAATATCTTCAACTGTTTGTATTTACAATATAATATTATCTCAATGTTATTGAATGTTGATTTAAAACAGAATGAAATAATATCAATATTGACCGGTCGACTGACTTAGGTGTCAAAAATATRTCTAAAGTTATTTATTTTTTTATGGAACGACTTTCAATCTACAGGAGGGTTTGTTTTTTTTWAAAATGGCTATGCTAATTTGTGATATAAAAGACTTTGTTCTATCCAACTATGCATTGAAAAATTAAGATTTCTATTTCAAACAAAGATAATAATATAATAAGTATACTCAGGTGTGTATTTATTTATACATGGAATATATTAGAATAATTAATATTAAGTGTTAAAAAATAAATTAATGACAATATTCCCATGATGTTTGGATTGAAGCGTGTCATTATAGTTTGAATTGAACCAAAACTATTTGTTGTTAAATGTAGTCATCATTATTGTGAGATGTTTATTTGAGTGTACCTGCCTAATCATATTATACCTATATTATACTTACAGCTGAAACATGAATACTGAAGCCGTAATAAAGCGTTATTTGACAAATATTATTGGACACGTTGAGGAGGAAAAATATTTCTCCTTTATGGGAAAAATATAAAATCATTTAAATATGTTGAGAGCATTCCATCTATGGTTCAAATTTCAAACTTTCATCACCACAACAAATGTACTAAAAACCATCACATTTTGTTTGTTGCATACATTTTTTGTCAACAATCAGAATTATAACTTACTATGGGTAAATATTATAATTAAAATTTACCAAATTTAAAAAAGAAATCAAATATTTTGCAGCAGCTCGTTTAAGAAAAACACGTTTTTCACTTAAGGCTGTTGGAAATCTGTGGGTTATGATTTGCCATATTTCCGGTCAACTAACAATATTCATGAGTATGATTTACAAATAATGGACAKGGTTTCTTTTTTTCAGGAAGTCTTATATGACTGCATAATAGTCCAGAAAGTTATGCTTGGTGAATATAAGCATGCTATTAAAATTTATGAATCCAAATTTGGCAAGAAGAAGGCATCGAGTTGAAGGGCATCGGTCTTTGGATTATACCGGAAATAATTTGATGGTTCCAGTAGAAAATCAGAACACCRACATCAATTTTTCAACAAATTAACCTTCATCAACCGGTGGTTGAAACCCTGGAACTACAATTATTTCAGATTGTTGGAAGGTACYTATTTTTAATGAACCTGTTAAAAATKTATTAACTCTTAAGTCTTAAACATTATTCAATAATCCGAGGTGTACAACACTTATTATTACATAATAAAAACAGCAAACATTGAACTATAGACACAAAATATTACGTTTGTTTATTTAAAAAAAAACACAAAAGTACAATATAATTATAATATTGTTATAATATTAATACAATTCGACGAAAAAAAAACGAGTGATAATTATGATAATAATAATAATGTATTATTCTATGAATAATTGTCGACATAACATTGAAAGTGTAATAACGAATAATATAGAACATTTGAATAACACAAACACATTGAACACTTACTGTATTTGTGCTAAAGTGAATATTATTAAAAATATGTACTAAACAATAATAAATATAATAATGGATTCAATAATTAATATTTTTCTCGTAATAAGTGAAGAATCATTTGAATGATAATAGTGATGATAATAATTGTAATAATAATAAGAATGATAAGATTCARTTAACGCTCTTTTATATGATTTCCCATTGTAGGACGCTGGTGTCTTTGCCACCAATCGATATCAGTCTGGAATCGTCGTGCAAGAAAGTCACGTTTGTCACRTGACTGCTGTGGCCTCCATACACGTGGCACAGCGACTGAGGAATACAAATAAAAAATCATTATACAGTGAAGAGTAGTAATATTATAATAATACTGCCATCAAATTTATGCGGTTTAGCMAAAGTGAACAGTTTGTTGTTAACCTCTATTTGATAATTACCACACAATATTTATCTAGAAATTTTAATTATTTCTAAAGAACTTAATGAGCAAATTACCGTATGAAATTATTAAAGCTTTTAAAATAATTGTTTTAACAAAAATTTAATGTAAAAATTAGAAACGTAAACATTAATAATGACATTCACTGTTCGAATGTTAACAAATTATACCGGTGATTCTTTAATCATTGAACACTCATTATTTTACACATATTATTTTACATAGTTTCAAGTTGTTAAAAAACAAATGTTTTTATTAAATAATTATATTTTTAAATATTTTTTATCCTTATAATTKTTTAAGKTTTTTACTTTTTTGAATTACAACATAAGTTTTAATTTCATATTCCAAAACAGAATGTTTTTCTAAGTATTTTGATTCATAAAAATCGAATTTAGGACGAGTAGCTTATAAGTTATAAGTATTTAAAGTTTAGACAAGCGGCGGAGTAGTGGACAAACATTTTGCGGAGTAACCACATACCACTCCACTCTGCCAATCTCTAAACTTTAAATACTTATAACTCATAAACTACTCGTCCTAAATTTAATTTTTATGAAACAAAATACTTAGAAAAATATTCTGCTTTGGAATATGAAATTAAAACTCTATGTTGTCATTCAAAAAAGTAAAAAACTTAAAAAATTATAAGGATAAAAAATATTAAAAAATAACTTTTTTTTAATAAAAACTTTGGTTTTTGAACAACTTGAAACTATGTAAAAAAATATTTTAAAAAACATTAGTAATTTTTGAAATAATGAGTGTTCAATGATGAAAGAATCACCCGGTATGCTCAGGTACTTTATATTCATTATCTTTGTTGCTTACCTTAGGTTGTTTGACCGGATATGAATACAGTTTCACTTTACCAAAGTCGTCTCCTGTTGCCATCAGCTTGGATCCGTTTGATCGTTCACATGCATTAACATCGGTGCCATCAGCACCTTCGGGCCATATTCCGATGGAGGTGAATGTCAGTACGCAAGAGTTGGTTGCCCATGCAGTGTCCCTAAGTTGAGTGCTGTGAGTGACTTGACGACAAACTTTCACTTTCCCTAGATGGAAAGAAAAATGTATTTAACATTAACAATCAGACTACAATACATTTGATTTTACATTAAATTAAAAAAAGTGGTACATACAATATAACAACTCGTAGTCTCCTGAGTTACTGCGCAGGTGCTCGTTATCCTTTGACCAATCCAAATGAGTGATAAAGCTAGAATGGCCCTAATTTAATAAAAACAAAATTAATATAATCAAATCAATTTCTATTACAAATAATATGTGCACAGTGCACACCTAACACACAGAAAATATTATATCTCTGTTAACGTTGGCAAAAATAGTTAATGGATTCAATTTTTTAACAGCCATTAAACTATTACTGATTACAAAGCATACAAAGTACAAACTCAACATCAATACATGTACCAACACATTGATACATTTATAAAATGTATACCAACGGCAGTAAATCAAATAATTTATATAAAATACTAAACAATTTACAACATTAATTATTTTTATAAAAAAAAAACATTAAAACAAAAAATGTTAACCTACTGCAAATTAAAGTGCATATTAATATTGATTAACCACTAATCATACAATTTTATTCATCCAATATATCTTTTCTATACATTAACATTTTTTATCTCTACAAAAACATCTACATGCATCAACACTCGGCTCTACACTGGCAACCTACACCTACCGACATCTTGTCAATAATAGCACCGGTGCTACACCTTCTGCGACGTTTATCTTCCCAACACTAGACATTGAGTGAATTCAACAGAAATAATTATGTGAAATGGGTTGTGAGGTAAAGGATAGTAGAGGTATACAATTTGATACAGTCATAAGAGCACATRAGATTTAGATGCACAATAAACAATATTTAGACTACAATACTCACAGTGCATCGTCCTAGACGAGTGTAATGTCTGGCACCATCTGTGACTTGATATATGTAGATATAGTTGTCCCTGGAACCAAGAGCAAGTAGTGTGCCGTCWGGGGAGAATTTCGCAACCTTCAAATGACAATAAACAACTTAATGATTACAAATTTGATTACAGCTGGTAAGTTTTTACATTCTAATTATTTACACTGAAATTTTGCATACCTGTATTGGTTCGTTCCCGTCGACATGAGTTGAATAAATTTCTCGTGTTTCTGAATTCATGACAATCCATTTTCCAGACACACAACCAACAATGATTATTCGACCATCGCTAGAGAATGCAGCCGACTGTGCTTGTTCCTATAAATTATGTACAGATGTGATGTAGGTATGAAATGTAAAATTAATTAAACTATAAAATACTAACTGCAATGTCTTTACTCCATACGACAGAGCGAGACAACGAGTCCCAAAGCTGGACAATGCGATCAAAACCGGCTGTGAGAAATTGAGCTAATGTGGGATGAGGACATAATGCCCACAGTTCATCGGTGTGGCCCAAGACAGCAGGGCTGAAGCCCATCGACAATGAACCAATCAATATGCAATTACGGGTGGATCCAACTAGCAATTGTGATCCGCGGCCTTCAGACACTGTACGAATACCACCCAAGTGTTCAGCAACCTGTTCAAATGAAAAAAATAACTAACATTTCTAAATCATATGAAATCATTACAATATAAAATAATAAATAAGGTACCTATCAATGTAATTAAATAATTTCTATAAAAAATACCTAAGGTATTCAAAAAAAACATTTTACTTACTGCTATTTATTTATAGGTAGTATATTATACTCAGATATTTTCAAACCAGTTTTAAAATCATATTAAATAATATATAATTGTCAATTGAAAAAAATAAACTGGTTTAGCTTATTTTTAATCCATAAAGCATGTGAGAACATACGATTAACAATTTTTTTGGTATCAACAGAGTCAATACAACATATTAAGTTGTTCATAAATTGTGAATAAAACATGTATGTGAAGGGAGAAGGGTCGAATACTGATATGTTGATGGAAATAACTATAATAACAATAATATCTTACTTGTGCTTCATATCCAGTGGGATGCATCGAAGAATCAAACTGGATCAGTTTACCGTCCTTGCCACCTCCAGTTATAATGCTGCCCTCTTTCAACACACAGATGGAAAACACTGATCCTTCATGTACGTTTCGGGCAACTTTAATGATATTATTTGTGCCTGTTTGGAGAGAAAGTTTGTAATAATTTCACAACAAAACTATAACTTGGTGTGTAAAATAAACTGAACATTTTAACTACCAAATAAGGAGCAGTGATTTTTCCTCTAACTGTACGTTTGCCTTAACATTTGTGGGGTGGGGGTGYTCTAATACAAAAATCATTAAAAAAATTTAACATCATTGCAGCTAACTTGGTCTAAATTGTCTAAATTGATTGGATATCGACGATAAATACCTATAATGTCTATACCTAATACCAGTGTTGGGTAGTAACGTAACGAAAATAATGCGTTACCGTAACGGCTTTACTTTACTTGTAACGCGTTACGTAATTTCATTAGAATTATTTCCAAGTAACGAAAATGTAATGGAAATTACTTTTGATAAGTAATTTTTATTGAATAATGCGTTACAGTTTCGAATTATTAAGTACCTACCTTTTGCGAATTGAAAAAAAAAAATGTCTATAATGAGGGTATTATTATGTTTACCAATGTAGTTTAGTAATATACTATATATATTGATTAAAGCTCCTTATACAGTTGATCTCACAATTTTGAATTCAATGACATTAGTAAAGAATATTTTTATTAAATAAAACACAGCTTTACCATCCAGTGCTTCTGTAGAGCGATTATTCTGTGTTTCAGGGGACATTTGTTCTAAAAAAAGGTCGCGTATGAGTGATAAAAACCTTGAAGATACACTATTGTGTAAAGTTAATTTAAAACATAAATAAATATAAAATAATAATATTGTATTATATTAATTATAGTATATTGATTTCTTATCAAATTATATCTATTTACTATAGGTAATGTATTTCTAGTAACATTATTGCCAGGCAAAATGATAATATTGTTAAGAAATATAAAAAAATTATTTTTCTTTTTTGTGACGAGACACGAGAAAGTAATGAGTTACTTTTGAAAAGTAAAGTAATTTTATTAGAGTAACGAATAAAGTAACTTTATTACTTTTTAAAAGTAATTTACCCAACACTGACTAACACCTACCTATGCAGTGACGCCCAGACAGGTTAGCAAATAGGTACCTATATTGCAACTCTGTATGTCATCAAGGGGCGGGGGGAGTAAATCACTGGTGTCATAGGCTCATAGGAAAGTTTATAAATGTATAATACAAAATATGAATGTAGTCTATATTTTAATTTCTGCAAGTGAAAACTTTTTTTAAATAAAAGATGGGAGGACGGGTTGTTTTTAAACTGTATAATATTCACTCTGCAGACACCCCAGTGTGCACCGCTRTACCCACGCTATATACCTATATAGTTCAGGTACTCACCGCGTCCCCATATGACTACGGATCCGTTCGAGTCTCCAGACAAGATGTCTCCATTCTGCGTGAACGCCAAACACGTCACATATTTGGGACGGTCGCGAGTGGTCTCGAATATCCCGTTGCGCTTGTAAAGGGTACCGCCGGCATCCAGTGTCCAGAAACTGATGTGACCCTTGCCACAGGTGACGATCTGGTTGCGCTCCAATGGATGGAATTCCGCAGCCACCACGGTATCCATAGAACACTGTACGAATCCAATAAATACGAATGCAATTGCGAATATTGTTGTATTATGCAACTATACTGCAGGGTGTCCCACGGAGATATGACAAATTAAATAACTTTTGTTCTAATCAATATGTTTTAAAAATTTCTTTTAAATATAATTCATAGACACTTGCGCCTACATTTTTTTTTCGAAATATTCGATATAGCCAATTTGTAAATTTGATTTTCAGAAAAATGTATATATCGTAAAAACTAAAAACACTTATTTAAGTCAAATGGCTGATTTTTAAAAAAATTTTTAAATATCAATATTTTCGTTAAARAAAATACAATCTAGTTTATGTTAGAAACATTTTAATTTCAAAAAATATTTTATATGAACATTTTATAGGTCATGTTAAAATCCAATTAATTTTTTATTGTACTTATCTACTATTTTATTATAATAATATTATTTGGTCAATAAACTCATTTTTTGAAATTAAAATGTAATTCATAGGTTACTAGGCGAAAATATTGATACTTAAAAAAAATTTTAAAAAATCAGCCATTTGACTTAAATAAGTGTTTTTACCAAATACATTTTTCTGAAAATCAGATTTACAAATTGGCTATAATATTGAATATTTCGAACAACATTTTTATCAATTTTTAAGTTTCTTATTTTCAGTATTAAAAATAAAAAATGTATTATAAAAATGTAGTGCAAGTGTATGAATTATATTTAAAAGAATTTTTTTTTAAACATTGATTAGAACAAAAGTTATCTCATTTGTCAGATCTCCGTGGAACATCCTATTGTGGAGACGACGAAAACGAATTATATGAAACTACACGAGATCGCTGTCGGCGATTTCATGTACGAACTAGAAAAGGGTATATTACACGGGTGCAGGCCACTGATCTTAATTTTGGGAGCCAYAAATTTATGAAGCTAATTTGAAGCGAGCCGCATTGAAATTAAGAGACGTTTATAAAATTGTCAATAAAATAAAAACACATTTTTTCATTTTGTATCAAATAAGGGGAAATTTTTTACTTTTCAAAAGTGCTTTTCATATTATATTTATTAATTGTACTGTAAGCTCGGTGGTGTCAAGAGCCGCACAAGATTGACTCGCAAGTCACATGGTACATTAACCATATACCTATTACACTGGAGAAAGTTAGAATCGGATGGCGAGTAACCGTATGCTGCAAGAACGTTGCCAAGACGACAGAAGAATAAAGAAAAAAATGAAATTGACGTAACCCGCTAGGTGGAACGATTGTGACTAATAATATGGTAATTGTTATTGACGATTCCACTGACCTTGGTCTCCGTGATCTTGTGACCCTTTTCGTTCTTCTGCCAATCCCACACGGATATGTTATGATCGTTTCCCTCGTCGATGGCGCACAAAAGGCTACCGCCGTCCTGCGTGTCAAAAACGAAAATGTGTGTTTAAAAAATAATAATTAATATACGTAACGATGAACAGGGTGATTTTTTAACCATGTTCATTCTATTTTTATGGTTAGATTATGCTTGTAATAAAATACAGATTTTTGGAATTTTTAAATACACTCGAAGATCATTTTTCGAATCATTGACATTTTTTGTACCACTTAAGGATGATCCTGTGACAATACTGACTTCAGTTCGGCAGTTGGTCAAATAGGAACCTCTTTTTTTTTATTAATTAGCAGATTTGTTTTTTTAGAATTTTGATCTATCTAAATCAAAATTCAAGCTAGTAGTGTTAAGTAATGTATAGGTAACTTTTTATTCCCTATATATGTCTATGGTAATGGGTTAAGTATACGATTTCAAAATTTTAACAATTACTACTGTTGATTTATCAATATAAATGATTTGTAAAAATTAGTAAAATAAATAATATACAACATCTATCCTTATTAGTTATTAGTATAAAGATTTTACTAACTCAGAAYTTGTTGGTTAGGTGTAGCAAAAAAAAATATTAGAAATTCGAAAATAAGATCTTTTWCTTAAAAATTCTAAAAATCAGAATTTGAATTAATGTACTGTTAAAGGGAAAAATGGAGGCGAGCATACTTAAAAAATCAGTTTGTATAKATAAATCGTGTCGTAGAGCCTGATAACTGCTGACAAAAATTCCGATTAGACTTACCGCTTTGGAAAACGACAGACAGCTGATGGACCGTTCGAACTCGCCCAATCCCAGCACGACCACCGTTGCTAAGCTGACCGAATTCCAAACTCGGATGTGAGGCTAAAACAACGATTGGAGAAAAAACACGTTTAATGATATTTACRTTCATTATCTCGACAGATTCTGTCACATTCGTCTTACTTTTCCCTCGCGGTTATCGTGTCCGGCGGTCTGGCCAGTAGCCACCAAAAGCTTGTTGGGGTGAATCGCCAAACTGAAAAATAAATCAAAACGAAATGTTTAAATTATTATGTAGATGATACTCGACATCGCTATTATACTCGTGAGACGACGTTGTTCCCAGATGTCTATTAAATAATCTCATCGACCGACCAGAAAAAATAAGAAGTTGATGACGGAAATCAAATTGCCTATTATTAAGGAATAACAGGAGAACAAAATACGATCTACGTTATGAGAACAAAAAAGTAAAAATACATAACATTTTAAATTCAAATTTTGATTGTTCAATAAAATACAATTTTGTCACATTTCGTTTGAAATAGTTTTTTTTTGTGATTTTCTATGATGGACCAGAGCGAAAATGGTACAGCAAATTTTACGAGGGCTAACTTATTCTATACAAAAAAAAAAAAATCAGTTTTGGATGCTGAAACCAATATCAGCGGCACGCCCGAAAACTCTATATAATCTAACAACACTGGAAACCACACTGCGGTATAATAAACGTTACCATTTGATGTCGTCTGTGTGTCCCAAATAGTGTCTCTGGCTTTGTTCTTCGACGTTGTATAGCACGRCCACAGAGGCCACGAAGTACACCATTTCGCCGGTGGGCAACAAGTATAAGTTGGAACGGCAGTCTTTTCCTCTGTACCCATAACTGTATAGAGTTGAACGATTAAGGAAAACAATAATAATATAACCACTATTCACGTCGGTACAGAATAATAGAGTTGTTTAACATTTCGGGACAAACGTGTGCAGTGAAACCTCTTTATAGCCGATCCCCATACCTACAAGTATGGCGAYGGCCATCGTAAATTATGTGAGATGGGGGTTACTGGGTAGGTGGGTAGGCACTGTTAAATTCGATAATCGCCATACTGCATTTTTTGTAACTCGGCGCCACTGGGTCTGTAGCGCGGACATCATAAAGAGAATTACGACATAATGTCCACTATATATTATAGGAGGAATATTTTCCCACGGATCCACAGATGTTTGTGCCGGAGAATTTAGAAGTGTCCGCTATTCACTAGCGAAGGTAAACATAGATCGTACTATTATAGGTACAGTAAGTGGTATATGGTTATATTTTTTATTTTTTACCCCAAAATATACTAAAATGTCTTATTTTGGTTTTTATGATTTTATCGTAGAAAAAAAGTATATGCAATTCAGGTATATTTAGGGCAATTTTAGCGCAACAATGTTGAATTTTCATTATCACATMTATAAAATAATCACTATCTCTAACAGTCTATTTATTTTATCAATAAATTAAAGAATCACTGACGACGGTAAATAATGCATTATAAAATGTGCTGATTTGCTATAAACAAACCGAATTGTTTTTTTTTTATGTAATAAATTATGGTTATATGACGATATAATTGTTATTTATTATTGGCTTMAATGCTTAATGCATATTTTAAACGATTTTTAAAAGGCAAATYTATTTTATTTTATTTATCTGTAATATTATATAGATTATAGAGTGCATTTCGCGAATAAGTTAATTACTATAATTTTCTATTCTCTTTTTCTAGGTACCGAAAACATATATGACGAATACACACAGCGTGTCATTAATTCATTATTAATCATTAATAGTAATATACTTTTAAATCCAAAATACTATGTAATTTCGTTTTAAGTAGCCACAACATGTCAATTGCGCACCTAATAGTATATAATTATAACACGATAAACTCGCAGGTATTATTAAGGTCCGCAATTCACAGAAAAGTCAAAAAATCATATTATTATATTATTGTYTGCCATGGTCTCGAGGCGAAAACATCATAATGTTATACAAACACATAGGGTCATCAAATCCATAATATTTACATCAAAATACGAAATTGTCGTTTGAAAGTGGTGAAAAAAATCTACTCGATTTCGAAAAAAAAAATAATAGTATTGTCAAGATCAGACAGTAATGAAAATATTAAAGTTAGCACCTACCTAATAGCTACTACCTATACTTGATATTATTTAAAAAAAGTAAATAAAATTTTTCAACAGTTCAGCTCTATATAGGTACCTACTTTAAAAATATATCACGTAATGTAATAATTATTTTGTATAATATAATATAATATCATGTATGGGCTMGTCTTGTACAGTGAAAAAGGATACACCCAATCGAGTTTTAGCTTGGACGAAGGAGCGGTGGCCACTTTGGTGATGTCGTAGGACGCGATCTCGGCAGTCGGAGCGTACAGGTTGATGGGACGTCCGCGCAGGAACATCCGTACGCTGCCCTCCTCTTCATTGTACGTAGCGTCACGCGTACTGCAAAAAACAAGCACAATTATTATTATTATTATTGCTCAATATATTGTATAGGTATATTCAACATAATAGAAGGAACGAACAAATAAACAAATCATAACAATAGTAATCAAATTGTCGAACTTTAGTATATACCTAAGAGTATTGGTGRTGTCCTGCAGAAAGTCAAAAACAATACTTAAATATATATATATATATAATTATAATACACATTATATCATACCTATATAAAGTTCTTATAATAATACTTAATATCTCTTTGTATTTTTGAAAATAATAATTTCGAGCGAACGTTYGACGACGATGATAAAGCTGACTGTGTGAAACAACAAAACGCGTAATTTTGAATAATTATTAGCTACCTATTATGTGTTTATACGTATTATAGGGCCCTACCCAAATTATAACTCAATATACATCCAACACAAATTATTTAAGCTTACAGAAAGTATATAGGTAATTCAAATGGGTGTGTAATGTTTTATAATAGTTTGTAATTTTTTTAATAAAAAAAGCTAATACGATTGCTCGAGAAGGATTTGACGGAAACAGCAATAATAATCAGACTTAAGACTACTTTGACAACACCGTGGATGAGTGAACCGCATTAGCATTCATATATAGATGACATAACGATGAATCGATGAACGTAGCAAAAGTGAAGAGCTCGGAATTAATTTGACGAGTATTAAAATATACCTATAGGCTATAATATATTATAATTGTTGTATTAACCTTTTGGCGTCGGTACGGTGGAGTGGCATTTTAATTTCTGTAGTAGAGGTCAAGAGTGTCGATGTTAATATTCCAATATATACACACCGGACACAAAATAAATAATGTGATATTAAGATCGTATAATTTGACGCGCGCGCAGACAAATTAATTAGTCGACAAAAAAATTAGAGAGCTGACGAGCGAACGGTCGACCGTACAGCCAACGACTGAAATCGGTTTCGCCGTCCGGTCCGGTTGTGTACACAGTACCTATTACACATCTCACGTCGTCCACCAAGACGTGACGTGTGCGAGTCTCCCTCCTCAGTCATGAAAAATGTCTGCCGATCGTCAATTTAAAGGGATTTTAAATTTTAATGATTTAAAATATACTCGTATATTTCAATCGAATCGACGATCACCCAAACTCCTTTATCTCAACTGCAGTGAATAATTCGACACGACTRCTGCCGATAACGACTTAAAACACTCATATGATATAGGCTAAAGGTAAAAATAATCCAATTGTTCATAATGTTTACTGCAGGTGCGATTAATACGATGGACAACTATTATTGCGATAAAAGCGATCACTTTTAAATGATTTTTAATGAATAATGTTGTGACTCGGTAATTTTGACGTTATAACTTATGGACTACATATTATGTAATATTATAATATTTTAATGTTTTTTTTTTCATACGTCTATAGACTTTTATGGTCTACCTATGGTAACCACAAATCTTTACCTCATCCGGCGAATAATTTTAACCATTTATAATAACATATTATGTATGTCGTTATATGCATAATATTTTTATATATATATATACCTACTGTAACTGTGTGCACTGTGCAGTAAAACGGAACAATATATAATAAATAGAAGACAACGTACGAAATAGACTTTAGTCTCCTCCTCCCACAACACATAAACACGCTGAAATCGTGTTTAGTGTTTACGTTATGATAATGGACGTATTCACGAATATGGCACATACAATCTCAACAATATGCGTTGAATGTATATATATATATATAGGTACGGCGTTCATAGTTCAAATCGTTTTAAATAGGCCGCGCAAACGCCTCGAGGTCTGTCCGAGTAATTACTACTATAAAATAAATAAAGTCTCCGTCGTCTACCTTTAATCTTTATAACTATAACTATCTAAACACTGCAACATTGCCGTATATAACAACCGCTAATATTAGTATCTAAAATCTAAGCGAAAAGAAATCAAAATCATAAATATCTAAAGTAGGTAATTATACTGCTCAGGCTTTGAGAATAAATAATATTGAAGATCTGAATATGTACATATTTTTTCTCATAAGCTGTTTTTGACCATGCGGTAAGTCAAATACGTATATAAGGTCCTATAATACATAACACAAATAATTTTGTAATTAATTTCCCCAAAAAATTTTCCATACTTAAGGRCTAACGGAAATGGCCGATAAACATGATATTTAAAAACAACTATAATTATATCGATATTTAAGTCATTTTTTTCAATGCATCATATCTTTTTAAACATATTATGTGAAAATGTAAAACAAAATTATTTATTTTTATTACTTCTCGTATAATATTTTATATTGACTAAATAATAATACTAACCTATATAACCTACAAAATGTAAAACTATGTTTTCCAGTATTTTCAGAACACATTATAATTATTTTACTGATAAAAATATATGTAAAACCAAATGAGTCTACATAATATTATAATATATTTTATTATATCTTTGTAGAGTATGACACCTATATGGCTATATATATATATAGACAGGCGAAAATGCTCAGATTAGGACGGCGAGCTGGGCGTGATTTCGAGTTGTGATTTTTTTTCACAGGAAAACTGCTGTGAAAAACGATCAAGTTTGTAAATTTTTCGCTCGCGGATCCGGCTTGAGTAACGGTAAGAGGAAACTTGTATACGCCCGAAACGGGGAGCGGAATCGCGCACTTCAAGTGTCACGGTCAACGGAGTTAATGATTGTTAATTGCATATGCGCGCACAATAATGAAATGTTTCGAATAAAATATATTGTATTCAGATCGCGTTAATCGCCGACCGCTGGTACAGGTAAGTATACAGTTGCGGATAGGTCGAGGGCCATCAGTAATGACCAGGACTCGGGAATTATAAAGCATTTACTTATTTTTATGGATTGAYTTAAAACGTAGTGCTATAGAAGTGCATGTCACGTTATAACACGTTCAATATCATGAAATTTGAAAGTGCCTTTTTTTTTGGCGATTTTCCAAAAAAAAATGGGTATTTCCAGTTTTTCTGATTATTTTTTCTTATTTGAGCAGTATTTCTACGTTTTTATAATGTTTTCAACTATTAGTAAATGTCGTTTAAATTTTATTTCTCWGAAAACCTTCGGAAAATCTATAAAACCCTTAAAGTCTCGAAAGCGAAGTTTAATTTATTTTATAACTATTATGATGGATCATCATGTTGATTTTTTTGCAATGTCCCATTAAGTATTTAGACAGAATGTATATTTAGCCTTAAATTTATAACTATTCGTTTTAATTATTATTAATATTTTATTTTTTGTTAATTAATGATTTTTTTTACTGTACTATATATAATTATTCTTCATTTAGCTGTTTACTACTACCATTTGTACTATTAATTTTTWATTTTGTTTTTGAATCCAACATTTATTATAAGATAAGCTAAACTGTACCTGTACAATTTTTCAAATTGTTAAAGGGTTTCATACCGTTTATTATACATAAATTAACAAATAAATATTATAGTACCTATGGTCTTCGTCGGAGACTTGACTTTACTCCATCATATTACCTATGACATAATGACATATATGTAATACTTTTCATGATGATATAATAATGCTCAAGGATGATATATAAAGACACAAYTTCGGGACTACACGGTGCTATATCGTTTGATCGACGACCGCTCTTCCGCAAAAAAAGTTTAAGAATTCGCGATCGTATAGGACAGCATACGCTTCACCGCGTCATAATTATTCCCATGTGCGATGTGCCTACCCGTAAACTATATAGGTACAACAAACACGACGTCTGTCTTCCTACTTATATAGAGACTTAAACGTCATCATGTCATTACTACGTCACTGCTGGTCACTTCCATATGAAAAAAAACGTAGGTAGGTACCTACTTGCCTACCTATATGTGTATTATGTGTTACTAATTTACTATATACGGTTAATCGGTTGATGAAATTATAGTAACATCGAGAATTGTCAAATCCCTCGAACCGAATGACGATAACTMGGTCATCTGTACCTACTTCAATTTTAATTTTTGATTTATCGATTTTCAAGCCACATTTAGATTCTTATAATGTTTTCAAATATACTGCTGCATAATATACTGTATGTATATTATATTATGATAGCAAAGACCGCGTTTTTACGGCGTCAACCGTAAGTCGTTACAAATCCGTTAGTTAAAATCGGTACCTTACAAAAGGTTAATATATTATACTTTGGCGAAATAAAGAAAATTCCAATTGTGCCTGTGCACATTATCAACAAACTGCCATTGCAGTATAATATTATAAATTACAGTACACAAAATGTATATAGGACACTATTTTATAACCGCACAAACTATTTTGTCTAACGAATTGACTTGTTCGTTTGTTGGACAAACAGGTATTTTCGTCGAGCGAGTTCAAAACTGGACTGAATTTCGAAAGTATTAATCGCACGCGGCGTTCGGACTAAACACGAAAATTCAGCAGTATAATAGCATCGTTATTTTAACGATAGTTTTTAATATTTCGAGAACGAATAGAAATTGAAACTAACGAGTAACGAGTCTCGTCGTCGTGAGTAGGAGATGCGGGAGAAAACCAATTCTGATTTTCAAAATTTATGAATTCGGTAGGGTTGTGAAAGTATTGTAGTTACTCAAAAACGTTAATCGATACGATAGTGCTGTAAGTACTATTATTGTAATATAGCAAACGTCGATTTACTATAATACAAAATATATAGGTATACAAAATATTATATAGGTACACGAATATCAAAATAAAAATACATTTCCTGCACGATAGCCAAAAATTATGTAAACCTTCAGCGAGTTGGCGTTAAAAATGTTTTTGTTCCTTTTAGATTAATTAAGTATTATTACATAGGTATGAGGTTAAGGGTATACGTTTAGGTATGCACTAATTACTTTATAAAAACATTACTACCACGAAAAGTCAAGAGTTTTAATAATTGTATGATATCATCATTATGCCGGCCTTTATCGAAAATG